CAATTGGTTGGTTACTAGCTAATTTTATGTAAAAATCTAAAACGTTAAGTTTCTCTTGAGAAATCTGAAGATTTGGTACCACTGAGTTCATATTAGCTAGAGTCGTTTCCCTGAAACGCAGCAAGTGCCACATTTGTTCCTCTCCATTTCTGACTTACGAACTTCTGGATCCAGTCCATTTTACTCATTTTCTTTATCTGACTGTGTAGTTGTTTGTGTTTGCTGCTTGGCCTAAAGGTCTTAATTGACGTGTAGACACTAGTCATGTGACCTTTGGTGTGCCTCAGTTTCCTTGTCTATAGTATCAGCATAACTCTCTTCTGGATATATATAAAGTAAAAGTGCTTTCATGTAAATACTAAGGACTTCAGAAAATATATGAAGGATATAATTAATCAAGAACAAAACAAAGAACCCAATTTAAATGGGCAGAGGACTCAAATGTTCATTTCTTCCAAAGAAGATGTGCACATGGTCAATAAGTACACAGAAAGATGTTCAACATTAATAATCATTAGGGGGCTGAAAAACCAGAATGAGATATTACTTCACACTAACTAGAATGGCTATCAAAAAACAGAAAACCCCCCAAAAAACAAAATAACAAGTGTTGATAAGGATACAGGGAAATTAGACTTGTGTGCACTGTTGGAGGGAGTGTAAAATGGTGCAGTCACCCTGGAAAATAGTATTGCAGTCCCTCAAAATATTAAAAATAGAATTACCATATGATCTAGCAATTCCTCTTTTGGATATATACTCAAAAGAATTGAAAGCAAGGATTTGAATATTTCTTCACTTAGTATACCCATGTTCATAGCAGCATTATTCACAATTGCCAAAAGATGGAAACATCCCACATGTCCAAAATATGCTATATATATACACAATGGAATGTTACTCAGTTTTAAAAAGGAAAGAAATGCTGACGCACATTATAGCATGGATGAACCTTAATGATACGCTAGGTAAAATAAGACAATCACAAAAGGACAAATGTATGATTTCACATATATGAGTTACCTAGAGTAGTCAGGTTGGTAAGGACAGAGAGGAATGATGGTTGCCAGGGGCTGGTGGGAGGGAGGAATGGGGAGTTATTGTTTAATTGGTATAGAGTTTCATTTTGAGAGAATGACAAAGTTCTGGAGATGGGTGGTGGTGATGGTTGCACAACATTGTAATTGTACTTACTGCCACTCAGTTATAATACCTAAAAATGCTTAAGATGGTAAATTTTACGTATATTTTACTGTAGTAAAAAATACATGAAGGGACAATATAGTTTTTTTTATTGGTGAATGTGATAATGAGCCCTGTGAAAAGTGATTAGTCAAAATAGCTCTCTACCTGTGAATATGTGTTCTTATTAAAAGAATATTTTGAAATAGTAACTAGTTAAATTTGTATGAAAGTTCTTTGATAGTAAAATAAACCAGATTAGTACATATTTTCTTGACTGTGACTGTCTATGGGAGTCATTTCAGGTTTATTATAAGTTTTTATTTTTCTAATTATCAGCAAAACTGTTGACATTTAGATCTGTTTGAATCAAATATAAGTATTAATTGGTTCCTTTAATCTACACGTTTTCTTCTTAGGTTCCGTTTAAGTCCAGCTGCCCGTAATATTCTGGAAAAACACGCACTGGATGCTAACCAGGGCGCAGCCACTGGCCCTCGAGGGATATTCACTAAAGAGTATGTGTGTGCTTTTTGTAATAA